AGTCGGAATTTTCTGTTTGTTCCAACTCATTGTTGGTAAATATTTTTTGAGACTCTCCGGATTGACGTCAGTTTCGTAATACGTCGTACTCTGGGGAATTTTGGTTCGTGGGTAATCGGGAGTTTTATTGCACACGTGACTAGTTATTTCGACTTTAGTGATACCTGTGCTATCAATAGGACAGCTGGATTTTTTGTCGAGGCAAGTAATATGCTAATGAGGGAGTACCCTGTATTGATTTGAGATATATTCCTCCCTCTAATATATCCGTGAATGAAAGTAACATTAAAAATTGTCAAACGTGTCGATGTTACCCCGAGGGGGACTTTTTTTTGAAGATATATCATTATTGTGACATCTCATCTTCCCCCGTATCACATACTTTACAATTTTGAATTCTTCTGGCTGTACTTCAACAATAATTTCGCTGAGTCAACATTGAATTTTAAATGTCAACAAGAACTTGCAGCTTTGTATGAGACTGGTTTAACAGTTTCCCCATTTTTTCTGAACTAACGCAGAACCCAACATAAAATGTCGATATATACGATTACACACACTTTTTTGTCATAATCATGGCGTCTATCGAATTTATACTTTTATCAAAGTGGCGACCCTGCCATGGATTCGTTTTGTTGTTTTTTTCCCAACTTGCTATTTTTGATTGATGGAACGACAAAATGAAAAGAACCATGACGTCTCCTTTCGCTTCTTGATAGATCAACCATTAGGAAGACTGCAAAATGCCAATGTTGCCAAATCGTTAGTGGTTTATATCACAAGAACAAAACACAAAAGGGTGGAAATTGCACATTACAGTTTGTTCGATGAAAGAATACATATTGCGTCATTAACTTGTGCATTCGGTATGATTTAACAAACTAATGAAAACGAAACGTACACGTACATATTGTGGAGGTGTTTCCTTAGTTAACAGTCCTACAGTTAAGTTTAGGTTTTTCCTGGTCATCGCCAGATTGCAATGGCCAATGGACCCTTACCATTGGTCCCTTACCAATATAACTTGATAAAAATTCATTGTTGGATAAAGCATGTAATGCAAATGTTCAATTAGTAACTTATTATTTACGGTATAGAGTTGCAGATAATCTTCTAGGTCTCCGAATTTGTAAATTTGGCAAAAAATGAATATGTATATGTATATGAGACCAACTATTTGATTTTTTTCTATGACGAATCTTTTGAGGCACAAACTCAAATGCCTTCGCTTACTCTCTGACAAATTTTCAAATGACAATATATTTCGTTAAATGTAAACATTTTCGTTTTGAAAACCAATTATCTAAAGGTACAATTCATTCAGGCCGGTCTTCCCTTACCTTTACAATAGGTTTATGGACTGACACCTATCAGAAACCAACTACTCCCCTGGCTAATACCACGAAGGGCGTTGAATTATATCTGACAGGTGTAAGTGCAGGATTCTTCACGGAAGCAATTTCTGCATATGCTTTTGGAGATACAACTGCCAAAATAGGTTTTCAATTATTAGAACAAGCACACTTGCAGACCGGTTCGGGCTATTTGGCCTTTCGTCCTTTCAAAGTAGTGTCCTACATCAACACAAAGTCGTCTATTTCCTATAAATAAAAATCGAATCATTTCGAACAAAGCTGAAGCGAACTACAATCAACATATCTGCCATCGCCCCCTCTGCCTGTTGAGGAGGTACTAACCAATCGCATATCCAAATGGCCCAAATCCTCGTAGAAATAAATTTCACCCATAGTAGGTGGGCATACTTGAAGACTGGTTTTAAATCAGATTATCTGAAGAACAGTTCGTTCAGGCCAAATTTTTTATTCAGGTGATGACATAGAAAACAAGAAATTTGGAATATATGTTGGAAATTTATTTAGTTTCAAAATTTGTTTTACTGAAAATTTTTTGCCAAAAAAATTATCCTATCAAATTTGTCTATTTCTAGTCATGTGTGTCGAAATAACCAATGAAACCATCATCACACTGATAACTACCCATGGATAGTTTTCACGGGTAGTTATCACTTATGTCATGACATTGCTAAGCAACCAACACAATAAAGTTGTTTGACATTTCAGTAATTCAATTTATTTCGAAAATGTCACTTCCTCGCTTTGGTGTTCAAAATGATGCGGCAATTGACAAAATCATTGAAGAAAATACACCAAAAAATACTGTCAATAGTAAAAAATACACTTGGAAAATATTTATGGAATTTTGTGACGCCAGAAAATATGAATTGGATGGAAATCGTACTCTCGAAGAGCTTGCATTAATACTCAAGGATTGGGCGATTAATATGAGAAAAAAAGGATAGCACAGAGTTTAAGGAGGCTACTGTTAAAACCGTATGGAATATAACAAGCAAATTATTACAAGAAAAGTATTACAAGGAGTATAATATCATGCTAGACCCGTTTAAAAGTGTTGCATTCAAACAAGCGCGGAATGCACGCGACGCAGCACGAAGAAATTTACAAACAGATCCCACTAAACGCAAAACAAGCTCAGTACCATTAACTTCAAATGAAATGAGTAAAATTATAAACTTTTGGGATGAAAATACCCCTATAGGACTCCTACGCAAATTTTATCACATAGCAGCGGTGGAATTGGCTTGGAGAGGTGGTGAAGGAGCTGCTTGCTTAGTTGATTATTTTCATATCGAAAAGGACAACAATGGATCTCCAACTAATAGGAAACACCTATGCAGTAACCGAGGCAAATACAGCAAGATCAACGGAATATCATTATACGAATTGTTCTTTTAATAACTGTGTGTTCAATAAATAATTTTGTTCGAATTGCAAAAAATTTTCTCACCGAATATCCCTCGAACATTGATAAATAACTCATAATTTTATCACAACTTCCTCAAGCACGTTATTTTAGGTAACATCCCTCCGCCTTCGGCGTCGGGATGTGACCAAATAACGTGCTTTCGAAAACTGTGATAAAATTATTTCGTTAGTTATCAATGTCCTTGGGATATTATAGCTGATAACATTGTCCCAATTGTCAGAACATGTTCATGATCTGTTTTTATGCACAAGAACGGCAGAAACATCCCTATGCATATATCCAATTACACGAAACATGTTATTGTGGACATTCGGGACATTCGCATAGGACATGCCTGACAGTTTCATCTTCCTGTTCACACATCCTGCATAGAGGATGTGTGAACATATTGTGTAGGTGTTTTCTTAGTTGACAGTGGACAGTTAGAAATCCTACTGTTAAGCGTAGATTTTTCCTGGTCATCGGCAGATATTTCTTCAGCGCCAGCTTCCCAGGGTCGCCCAAGGTGATCCTGGCAAGACCGCATCCTTTAATTCCATCCAATTGAGCATGGGTGTGATGTTTGCCTAGTTCCGCAATCGTCGAAGTCATCAGGCCGTGGGTGCCACTGGGTCCTAAAATTCTTACTCCATCCGCTTCCTTAGCTAAAGAGTCGGCAATGCGATTACCTTTACTCATGGAAGTGCCCTTCAACCCACCTCAGGAAAATGTTATTATCTACCGAGGCTTTGGCTGAATCTTGGTGGCAATCTAATACTAGCCCTGTGGTAACACGTCTGTTCAAGGCTAATAGGGCTTGTCTACTATCATTGCAGATTTTTATGATTTTGCCAGAAATTTCTTTCCTGGTTCTGTTTGAACCACGTTGGTATTTTTTCCCATTCCCCACTTAATCCTTAGGCTTAGTGATCTGGAGTTAACTCCACATCCTGAGCTTCCTTTGGTTTTTGAGCCGTCTGTATATACGCGTATTGCATTTGTAGCATCTGGCTTTGTGTTCTGTTTCATTTATATTTTGTAGGGTTTATTAAACACAAACCTGGGTTCAATTGCATCACTGGCTGCCTGCAGCAAGAGTTGCGCAGTAAACGCTTCTCGCCATAGGCTTAGCCTCAATTGACCCATTCCTACTTTGAGGTTTACACCAGCCGTGCGCAATCGTAACATGGCCATTGACGCAACCTCCTTAACGTACAGATCTAGAGGGGTCAGACCAGTAATTAATTCCATTGCCGCGGTTGGTGTTGTTCTCACTCCTGTGAGCCAATCTCTTCATATAATTCAGCGGCACATTAATTATTCTGTAGAAATATATTTTATATTCCATTCTTCAACTCCGATATCTGCCAATTCAAATATTCCAGTATGCGGAACATCAAGACAGCCTTGAGGTTAAAATTACCATGTAAAATGTACTTACCGTGAAATATGTGAAATATTCGTGTAGTATAAAAGACTTCAAACTGTGGAAGCTTTTTAAAAAACTAATTATAAACAATATAAACTGTCAAATGATAATACTAAGTTATTAGTTCGTTTGAAAATCTAAGAAAAAGACTCGCGTTTGTGTAGCTATCTTTCTTCAGGCGTGGATATACTAAGTTAATATAGACACGTCTGAAGAAGCTATTGTATAGCGAAACACGTGTTGCGTTTTTGTAAAACTGAAGTGAAAATCTCACAAAGTGTTTTTTTGAATTATTTCATGTTGTGACATTGTTACATTACTTTATATTGCGCCCACGTACTCTTTTGGAACTAATGCATGGTTTTTGTAATCGCAACAGGCGTGGATATACTAAGTTAATATAGACACGTCTGAAGAAGCTATTGTATAGCGAAACACGTGTTGCGTTTTTGTAAAACTGTGAAGTGAAAATCTCACAAAGTTTTTTTTTGAATTATTTCATGTTGTGACATTGTTACATTACTTTATATTGCGCCCACGTACTCTTTTGGAACTAATGCATGGTTTTTGTAATCGCATCGAGGAAATTCAGTATATTATTGTTGGTGTTGTTGAAATCTCACTCTCTACCCTATTAGTTCCTTGAAAGTGATTAAATACACCAAATTCTGTGGAGTAGTTACCTTGAAATCTTACTATTGCTTAATTGTTTCAACTTTTCTAGTCTATCCATTTCTATCCTATGTATTAATGTTCATCACTTTCTGAAGGTGGGTTTTTGTTTCAGGTAAAAACTAGCTATGGAAAACACTGACAGTTATTTGCACAAAAAGTTCAAGAAACAGCTGAACATCCACTCAAAACCCCAAAACGATAAAGAGAACAAAGACGCCGTTCAGACAGAACAGAGCGAGGAAAAATCGCAAATTCACACGACACCGAAAGACACTAAAAACGATGAAGAGAGCGTCATCCCGTACCACCGACTAGACAATAACAACAGTGTGCCAAACCAAAGTACAAATAGCCCTTCATTCTCGGTGAATACCAACTACTCCAAGTCTTCCATATCAGTAGAAACACAAGTAGCGAACCAACAATCTTCGAACTCTTACATATCATATGTAGTTTCGAACCAATCAGACCATCAACCAGCTAGTTTTGATACTAAATTTAGCGAACAGACCAACTATACAGTGAGCTTGTCTTCCATTTTAGATAACGTTTATCCAAGGCAGAGTTACTCCAGCGCGGAAGATGCCTATCCGCACTACAACAACCTCGGCGAGGACTATCGCCCGAGGCTCAACAGCTCGGACGATGTTTCCGAACCGAAGCCTGACGAAGTCCAGCGCCCTCCCGATAAAAACTCCAGCGGGAAATACGTGTGCCCCTACTGCAATCTAGTGTGCTCCAAACCGAGCGTTCTGCAAAAGCACATAAGGGCCCACACGAACGAGAGACCGTACCCTTGCAAGAGTTGTGGGTTCAGCTTCAAGACGCGCTCTAACCTCTACAAGCATTGCAGGTCGAGGACCCACGCGAACAGGGTCATGGGCAACAAAACTCAGGAAGGGGGCGCTGAGAGCGACGATAAGTACACGAGGGACTCCCCGAACCACTCTGAGTCGAAAGAGGAGCAGGTCGCGTTGCAGAAGCCTTACAAACCGCGGTTCCACACGGGGAAGGCCTTCTACGACAACGTATCCAAGGAAAACATCGGCGACGAAAGTCAGAGTCCTGCTACCGAACTGCTGTCGATGACCATCAACGAGATCATAAGCAAAAACAACACCATAGTCAACTCGAAACGTCTCTGCGAAGAACCCACTTCCAGCGAGTTCAGGTACAGCAAAGCAGAGCCTTATGTCGAACCGAAACCATCCGAGGAACCTCTCAACTTGACCAATAAGAACCGGAAGCGGTCCCTGAGTGAGGTGACCGAGCCCTCGATGCAGAAGAGCTTGATCAAGGAGCTCCTGCTTAAAAACCTTTCCTCCGATATGCAGTGCCCCCACTGCAAGATGATATTTCAGACCGTCACTGAGCTGGACGTCCACAAGTACCGCAGCTGTAAGGGCAAGCCCTCAAACGCCAAATACACGCGCAGCAGCTCGGTGAACGTCGCCTCGATTCTCACGCAGAACAAGAACGCTTTCGACAACATCCCGCAGCTGCAGAACACGGTGTTTCCTCTGAACTCTCCGGGACCCTTTCTCGGCAACACGAGACTCATCGATGCCGACAAGAGCAAGTCGTTTTCTTTCGACGCCGGCAACTGTCCGCTATTGAGCCCCAGCGAACCTTCGCCCAGCTACCTACTGTCACCTCTTCCCTTTGATAGGGAAAAGAAGCCGGGGATCAAGCTGTTCGGTGGGGAGGTCAAAGTGCACTCCTCCGGGGAGACGAAGAGCTTCAAGATAGACAGCAAGGAGGACAAGTTCGAGTCCGAGTCGAAGTATGCGGAGTTCGGGGGAAAAATCAGTGAGAACAGGGTCGTCCAGTCGAGTTTGCAATCTGGGGGGACGGTGCTCACCAACAAAACCAACTACAGCAAGCAGGACCTGAAGACCCCCCAGGAAGTGATGATGGTTTTCAGTACAGCTGCCTCGCCTAGCATCGAGAACGGTAGCTGCTTCAAAAGAACCAGGTTTGTAACTAACTGAAGTCGTTTGAATTCTGGGGTGTATACTGTCTATTTAGTGGCAGCTCTATAGTTTCAATTTCAAAACGATTCGTTGTATTCATTAAAGGTGGCAATCTAATTTTGATTTAACTTGGAGTGATAATTTTGCCGTGAGAATATGATGTCGATCTTCAAATGATAATGTCTTGCATTGGAAGGCTACTTCACGAAATTTTGTAGTAGTGAGAAGTTTTTGATGTGTTTGGCTTTTTTGTATTGAATTGTATTATCTTCCGAAAAACTATCATTGGCTCACTGTGTAATGGTATCCTTATAGGTTCACATTCGATTCGTTGGAAACGATATCCGACAGCGGTCAGGAAGGATTGAGAGATCAACCAGATACGCCGAAATCGTACAAGGACGAACCCAGTCCCCTCTACAAAAACATTATGGATTTCAGTCAAACTGCCCTGAGAAAACTGACTCCCAACCTGAGACAGCCTAACTTTAACCTAACTGTAATGCCCGCACCAAGCAGTCCGATGTACAACAACGTTTCCGGAGAGAGGTTAGAGAATTTAAGGCTCGCCAGTCCGAAACCCAAAGTCAGCGACTTACCACGAAGCCCACTTCCCCTCGCTGACCCTGACAAATACTTTGAAAACCGTAAACCATTTTACGAACCAAAACCCACAACTCCGACAAACATGTACAACCCCGTGAACCTGCTAGTCAACGGAAAGGTGGTGAGGCACGTGCCAGGGATGCCGGGTCCTGTAGTAGCTCCCGAACCCCCCGTAGATATGGGGTACAGGAGTAACATAGTTGCCGTGGTCAGGCCGATGCAACAGAGTGTGGCCCCCTTGTCGCCCCTGGTGCTCGACAGAGTCTCGAAAGCTAGCAGCAAGGTTGTCGAGCGTGAGGCGTTTTTCTTGCAACCGGAAAAAGTACCTGAAAGGCCGTCGAGGTCTCCGAACAACTTTTCCCCCGCCGCTGAGAGAGTCAGGACCAGTAGCGCCCTGCTGCAGGTCAAGAAGGTGTTCGACTTTGAAACCGCGAAGGAGGGGCCAAAACCCGAAACCTCGGAAGTGAAACCCACTCCCCCTTCCTGTATGAAACCCCCGGTATCCGCCATTGAGCCGAAGTCTTTGGATAACAGACCTGAAGGCGAACTGAAGAAATTTGCTCGTCCCAACAGCCTCGCGCTAAAACCGACCATGGCCTCACTCAAGCAGCACCACGGCTTGACCCCAACTATGTTCAACCAGATCCTCATAAGCCCCGATACTCCGAGGGTGGCGAAGAAGTATGCGGAACATTTCTTGCATGGAAACTACTTCAGTTACCTGGGCTTGAAAAGCTCCACGAAGCCGGTGTATTGCACGCTGAATAAGACGCAACCATTTTACGTGCCTTATTTCAAGAAGCTGAGCATGTATTCCGAGTGGAGGCAGCAGGATACCAAGCAGGACAAGCTGTACGTTATCAACTATGATTCGAGGCAGAAGAGTGGGAGGTATACCGTGGCTGGAAAGATAACGGCCAATTTGGTAACACATTCTAGTTATAAGGTGAGTGGTTTGTTTTATTAGTATGTTGTTTTATTAGTATATGTTTTATTAGTATATTTATTGTTGCGGTATCAACACTTTCAACTGGCTGAGAAACGAATTTATCAAATACTCTTTATAGTTTCATATCACAAGATGAGTATAGGTAGCGACAGTAACGTCATTGAATTTTTACGCATGCGTTATCATCTCTGCAATTGAAATAAGTTGAAGAAGTGAAGAAAATGCTCCGAACAATCTAATCTTCCAATGAAAAATTACTTTTTTCACTACTAACCTGAGAAATTGCTATTATTTACTCCATTCTCCTAACGAGAATTAATATTTCTCACCCTTGGTAAATGATAATAAAAAAACACCTAGGTAAATAATGAGAACAATTCTATAATTTTAAAGATATTCTCAGAAACTTTTGTTAACTTAATTATCAACTAGAAGTAGGAAATTGAACATTGATAATACCTACGCTTGAAAATTATTTGAAATTATAATTAATTGTACAATTGTGACAAATCATGTGTTCCAGCATTTCCTGTATTAATGGAACTAACATTTGGACCAGGTAAATTCACTTCTGTGTTACAAACAATCCTCGTATTTTGAACGCATTCATTACCTTTTTCTACGAATTATCTTCAACATGGACGTTTTCTAAGACAGCATCTTGACTTGCAGAAAAAGTTATATTTGAAGCTTCATTGAGTAAATCACATTTTTGCACTAATTCGGCAATTCTCTTCTTATCTTTGGTTAACGGAAAAACAGATTTTAAATAGATCAGCTATTGATTCCTCAATATATCCTTCAGCCACTGCAGCCGACTTCCACCCACCGTGCCGTTTCAGGCTTAGTAAGTCTCCTCCGTTTTCTGCGAGAAGTGTTGCCGAGCTACGTCTTAGAGAATGACCAGTATAACACTCAGGATTTTCTAATTTG